ACTAGTTAACTTTTCAATATTATACATTTCTTATTTACTGAAAAATTCATATTGACTTACAATTTGACAAAAATTTCTAGTCTTGGTAGTGTTAAAGCAAGGCTACATTAAAACCCAAACTAGGCCTGAAGAATACTTGACCATATTGCATACTCGAGCGGACAAACCTGCAGCCCTCAGAAGTGGTCTCAACCTTGGTTGATTTGGAAACATAAGGAGAATTTAGCTTGTGGTATTTCTTGCACTCATACTAATGAAAAATGAGAGTTGGGTGTGGTGGGGTACACCTATAAGCCCAGCACTCAGGAGACTGAGGCAGGAGGATGGCTGCAAGTTTGAGACCAGCCTGGGCTACGTAGTGAGTTCAAGACCAGCCTGAATTACAGAGAGATCCTGTCTAAAAAATAAAAAACAAAAAAAAAATCTTAAATCTATCCCAACTAGAAAGTGTTAAATAACATGTATAACTGGGGATTTTCTTGCAGGATAGACCAAAGAGACAGATGCACCACTATAACCCAGCACCTATTTTCTTTGCCTTTCTTTCATTCATGTCTTGTATTCCCTCCAAGAGTTTCCTGGATCTTTTCCGGTTTGGTACTGTCCAACTAACTAACTTTCTTTCTTTCTTTCTTTCTTTTTCTTGAAATAAGATCTCATCATTCTGTAATTCAGGCTTGTCTTGAACTCACTATGTAGTCCAGCATGGCTTCAAACTCATAGAGATCCTCCTGCCTCAGTCTCCTGTGTGTGGGATTACAAGCACATACCACCAGGTCTAGTTTGGAGCTACCATTTTGTGAATCACTCTTTGCTCAAATGCACTTCTTAAAAATTTTAATGTCCCTCAATGGGCCTTTTGAAAGAAGTAAAAACTTATATTAGTTTAAAATAATAGTTATTATTTCCAGTTTGACCTCTGAATCCTGTACTTAATTTTCAACTAATAAACAAAATGAAAAGCATTCTCAAGAGAGTTGTAGAAAAGGGTGGTAAAGATCCAATGCATAAGACTCAGAAGATAGACGTTTTCATCAGAAAATTATATATTTAATTAGATAATAATTATCAACATTAAAACATTTTAAAATGCAAAGAAAAATTTCCTGTGGGTAGTTAAAAAATGACATCATACAACCAAGGACTTTAGTAGATTATGAGGAGGAGACTTTGATAAGTATCTGAACTCTTCCATCCTTGTATTGAGGTATATTAATCTATAGTTAATACTATTAAAATCTTAGCGTGCAGTATAACACTGTTATGACTTGTGTCTAGATGCTTCTGCAGTCCCCAAAGCCTTGTGCAATCATGGGTGGGGTTTTCAGAGGTGGCTGAATCTACAGTGTGTGATTCAAGAATGTATGATTACCAAATTGGTCCACTGATTGATTTGGCACAGTTTTGGGTGTGGACATGGGGAAGGCTCTTCCTGGTGTGAGTGCTACTGCCCTAAGGGTATGAAGCCTTGACAGACATAAGGGACAGAAAGAGGGCTGCTATTGCTGCCTGCTGCCTCTGCCTACCATCAACTGTTTCTCCTCTGTGATGCTCTGCTGCCGTGCTACTCTGCCTTGGAGCCAGCTGAGTATGAGCTGAAACCTCTACAAACTGCGAGCTAAATAAACAACTTTGAGTACTGGGTATTTTGTCTTAAAAACAAGAAAAGTAATTAATACAAACTCCTACTCTAGAATTCCAGAACCAAATGATAAGTTTCCTGTGGAATATCCACTTGTGTATATTATAGATATATAATTTAAGAAAAATTTGTGCAAACCTGAACTGTTCATTTCTCCCCAGCCCTTCTTTAATGTTGCTCATCAATGCTTTCTGTTTCTTTGAAACACATCAAAATCTATCAAGTTTCCTAGCCAAATACATGGCTACCCCACTTTTCCTGCCTTTTCTATTGTATCTTTTCATGCTCGTGGTACTAAGGTGTTAACTCGGGACTCCCACGTTAGTTAAGTGCTTTTCCACTGAACACAGTCTCATCCCTCCCTTGGACCTTATATCACATGGATAATTCCCATCACTACTAGATTGTAACCATTTCCAGAGGACCATATCACGCAAGGTCTCACAAAGAAAATCACACTAGTTATTTTAATAGTGTGCATTTAATAAAAGAATTTTCTCAGTAGATAGTGGAGGATTCAAAAAAAAAAATAAGCAAACTATTGAGTTAACAAAGATAAGAACTAGAGTAGCAACTACCACCCCTTGGACCGAAGAAACAAAGACCAGAAGTTGGAGTTATTAAAAATCAGAAAAAAGAGCCCAAGGTTCCAAACTCAAGCCTTGAGTTGCCACTTTCCAGCTGCTGCCTGAACCTTTGCTCCCACAGGGAAAATTACATGAAGTTGGAGTAGGGACGACAGCCGGTGCTGCCGCCTCTGAAAGGTACGCAGGGCTGTCCTCAGAGTCAGGGAATGAAGCTGCCCCACTGGCTGTTTCTAGGAGGCGGGGCTGTTGCTGGGATGATGCTGATAGGGTCAAACGTAGTTTGACCACTTTGCCTCGTAGTTTCTGAGGGAGGTGGCACTGGTAGGGGAGGGGTTACTTGCGGCTTGCAGAGTGCCAGTGTCAGCATCACAGAACAAAACAGTAGAAATGGGGGCTGGGGATTTAGCTCAGCGGCATAACCGCCTGCCTTGCAAGCAGGCAGTCATGAGTTCCATCCCCGGTACCAATTTAAAAAAAAAGTAGAAATGAACAACTGATGCCAGGAGATGGAAGTGTAGCGACTCATTTTCAGTAATCTGTTATTTCCACCTCCCAAACTGTAGAGTTCATTGTCTTCTCAAACTTTGTGGCTGCTCTCCAGGCCATATCCATTCTCCATGTAGCAGCCAGATTGAACTTTACTGTATAAGTAAACTTCTGATCACGACACTTGCGTAGGTTCTCTGGACCATACCTCTGAATCTCTCTTGGTGAAAGCCTTTGGGATATGACACTAGACAGAGTCCTAGGAGGTGCCCACAAAGTGGAGATGAGCAACCTTGACTCAGCCCATCCATGGAGCAGATCACAGGGGTGCTGACGTCACAGAAAATGAATTTTTAGGGTGTGTCAGTCTAAGGCATAAATTGGTTTATCAGGCAGAATTTTTAAGGTGCACATTCAGAGAACTAGATCGTGGGCCCTTGAAAGAGAAAGGAGACCTGTGGCCTTGAGTTGAGTACATTTATGACAATTTGGATATTAAGATAGATTATCTAGAACGCATATTAGTATCTGTCAGTTTTGCCCATTTGATGGGCTGTATTAAAACGCAAATCATCTACTGTGTTCTTATCTTTGTTAACTCAAAGCTGACCTATGCTGTCCTCTCAATATGCAGCGTGCTTTCTGAGAAGGGTGTCTGTGGGAAGACAGAGCAGTTCACAGGTGAAAGTCACAGGTCCAGAGCAGATTTTACAAGCTCATTGTCTTTAAGGCCCTCAGGAATTCTTCCTGAAAGGAAAAAAATGTCAGTTTTCCTTAAAAAGTAGAGTTGTACTGTTGCAAGTTTCTTTATCTCTTTCCTACCTATCTTCATTTGTTTCATCCTACCTCAGGGTTGACCTCCCTGGAGCCTCCTACTCCTGACAGGAAGTTGGATGCTAGTCAGCTGAGGTGGGCCACGTCTACAGCCACCATGCCTACAGCCACCACGTCTGCGGCCATGACCAAATGGATGCTTCTGATTTTAAGGCCTCAATGTCTGAGGCCAGTCTCCCAGATATTGAAGAATTAGCTAATTCTGTGGGAAGAAAGGGGAATCTGTAATGTTTAACCAACATTGCAGCTGACTTCCTCTTTGCTTTAGTTTTATTTTGCATTTCTTTAGTTTCATAACACCTTTAACATTATTTTCTCCTCCGGTACTTCACTTTCTTACACAAATCTTTTGTAACACCTTTTTTTTTTTTGGTCTTTTTTAACTAAATTGTGTGGGCAGGGTTCTGCAGTGCCACTGCTTCTTCCCTAAGATTTTCCAAACTCTTTACCTCCTGAGTGAACAATAAAGGCTTCTTTAATTTTCTATCTGGAAAAATCTTATCAGTTTGTTTGACTTGGTTGTGCTGTTTATTTTACTGGGTGTGTATTGGGGGGAGGATATTTCAAATGTAAGAAAGTTTAAGACAGTAATTTCGTCTGCTGGATTTTAAGAGAAAATGTTTGAATAATTGGCCTTCTATGTACCACACAAAATGTTTACAGTGTTCAAGAGGTTTGACAGATTAGCATGCTTGATCAAATAAACTGATGATTTGGTTTAAAATGTAAGTACAGTAATTTATTTTAGATCATAATTATTAAATTAAATGTTATAAATTAATTTGGATAACTTGGTAAATAGTATTAGAGTATTTAAGACAATTTAAGATTTATTATACTCGTAAGTTGAGAATTTCAATAGAAGTCACTAGGGGTCATAAGGATCATGGGGTAGAGGTGGTTAAGTAACTGTACTGAAATACAGTTAGGAGGAATAAATTCTAGTGCTCTATAGCAATCTGGTGATTATAGGCCACAATAATTTTTTGTGAATTTTATAAAGTAGTGGAAATAGTTTCCACAACACACACAAAATTATGAATGTTTAAGGAAATAGAAATTCAAGTTGCCCCAGTCTGATCATTATACATTTGTCTCCAATATCACATCATGTGCACAGTGATTATGTGTCAACTAAATTCAAAAACTAAAATGTTCGTTTAATTTCTTAGTTTACAAGACTCTTTGAGCAGATGAGTGGTATTTCTCGTGGGTAGCAACTTTAGAAAGTCTGAGGATTGTTTCTCAATCTTATGCCAGGCATATGCAGCTTTCACTTTTCACACTGACGGGTAGCCTTTCTTAATGACCACTGAAAGCAGATTTCAATTACAGGACATGTCTTAAACAACGTATCCTATTTTGAACTTTGAATCCTTCCTGTTAACTTGGGAACTTTCCACCCTTCCCCCTCAACTTTGCTTCCTTCTCTATTGTACACTGCTACTAGCGAGCAAATATGACTCAGAAACTGGCTCCTCAGGTTGTGACATGCAATGATACACCACTCGGGTCATTACACAGTAAGCCGATGCCTTTGTTTCTCTAGGTCTACCTCTCCAGAAGGAGCACATTGCTTGCTCTCTGTGTTGCTGGAAAAGCACTCAGAGGTGTGTAAGGAAACAGTTTGCCCTAGCTTGGGCTTCTAGGGATCTTTCTTTCTGGAAAGAATTTTGATTATAATCAGAAATACGTCTGGGAGGTTCAAGAAGCCCTAGAAGAAAAGCAGGCCTGTAAAGGACCAGCATGGGAATCCTGTACTCTGAGGTAAGTCATGTTTCTGAAAGTATAATCCCTAAGCTGTTAAAATTTGCTCATGTTTTTTTCAAATATCATTTCCTATTCCTATTAGTATACCTCTGTTTCTTCTGTTTCTTCTCTTCTTTCTGTGTATTAAGCCAGAGCAAATAAAGTTCTTTGTGCTGGTATTTTAAATATTTTAACATGTTATCTTACAATACTAAAGAGTTACCTGAGAGCAGAATGATACACATTTCTCAGTGTTTTCAAGGTTAATCTGGACCTTGCAAAATTGTTAAACACCTGAACAGAAAATGAAAATTGTACTTAATTGGATTTTTTTAAACATCCAAAACATTGACTAGTTTTTCTATGGAGCAACAGATTTCAGTTTGGTATGTGAAAAACAAATTACCTCTAGCAATTATTAATAAAGACCATCACCCAATAGAAAAGGGATGGAAACTATTTTTGATACATTTTTGATCAATATTTCTGTATTGAGAGTATCTTGTATCAAATAAGATTTTGACAATATTTCAAAGAATCCAGAGAATGGTGTTTATACAAGCGTGTAAGAGGTGTGATGAGGTTATTATTCACAATTTACTCTTTTTCCTATTGAGGCAATTAACTAGTTAGTCTGCATTCCACTCTGGTGTTTAAGGGAACCTCCCTCTTTGATTTTGATCTTCTAGCATAGGCCGTCTCTTTGCTCTTATTTCTAATGCCATTTGTGCATGTGTATGTATGTGTGTGTCTGTGCTAAACGTGCAGTTTGGCCATTTTATCATTCTACATACGCCTTGATTAGTGATTTTAGTCTCCTGAAGAAATCATACATATGAAAATGACAAGCACATGATGCCTTCAGATGCCGTCCTGTCACTCTAAACTTTAGACTGTCTGCGGGACTGGGTGAAGGACTTGCTTGTGACGCAGTTTTGAGAGCACTTCAGGGAATCTCTTTGACCATCTGGGGTAAGGGCCAAAAAACTCCTTTTTCAGAGAACACTGCACAGGCGCTTCTGATGTGGGTGATCAGTTCAGCATCATCCCAAGGGAGAAAGAGGAATGCTACTCTAGGCCAGTGCTTTTCAATTTTTAATGGGCATGTAGATAACTTGAAAGTCTTGTTCAAATGAAGATGCTTACTCTGTAGAGAGGGTGAAGCCTAAGAGTATGCATTTCAGCTTCTTATCACTCATTTTTCTGATCTGTGGACTACACTGACTAACCAGGCTCTGGCCTAGGAACAAAAGACTCCTAGAAGAGTGTTCCAATGTTCTGTTGGTTGGGTATCAATTTGACAGATGGGTTGAATTAAGGCAAGACAAGGCATGTTCAATTACATGTGTCAGTGAGAATATTCCCAGAAGTAGCATAAATGTTTCATTTTTCAGACCTATTGAGTAACTTGGAGTTTTCTATGAAGTTTTAAAAAGAAATATGGTAACTACACACACACACACACACACACACACACACACACTAAAAAGTCCTAACTTACTTAGAAACTGTTGAAACAAATGCTTTTCCCTACAACTCAGTATCAGAAGGGGAAGTCGATTGCAGGCCCTGGTATCAGCATTTTCCCTGGTATCAGCATTTTCCCTGGTATCAGCATTTTCCCTGGTATCAGCAATGTGAAGCATGGAAATCACCTGGGAATTCTTAGTCATTCAGGAAAAAGATGTTGTTCCCGGCAAATCATTTCTCAGTTTATGGCATGTATCCTCGCTGTCAAATTTTGGTACTGTGTTATAAGATGTCCAGGATGAAAATAATCTGACTTGAACTATAGACCAAAGTGCTGAGGAGGCATTAGTGCGTTTGGAGTATAAGGAAACTTCGGTCATGGTTTCTCTATGTGGGTAGGAAATATGTGTGAATTGTGAGGAAAATCCTTGTCTCATCTTTCAGAATTCAGATGCCAAAATTATCAAGGTTAGGCATGCCTTTATTTATACCTCTGAAAGAGGTGAGAATTGAAGATGCTCATTATTTGGAAACCCAGAAAGGACTGCAGTGAAATGGTTTGCGTACCTGGTAACTTGAACATCTCAAAAGCGAATCTTAAAAATAAATTAAGGTAGATTAAGTCAAAATTCTGCTGAAATTATCCACAACACGTAGAATCAAATCCAAAGCCTTTACTGTGGGTCCAAAGGCCAATGTTCTTTGGTCACCACTGCTTCCTAACCTCCCTGCGCTGGCCACGCCCACGCGGCCACACTGGCCCATGTGGTTTCAGAACTCGTGGATCAAGCTCCGCTGTGAGAGTCCTAACATTTGAGCTCCCTCCGTCTGGGAAGTTTCTAACCATAGAGCCTTGCTCAAATCTCATTTGTAAGAGAACTAGAGAAGCCTTGTCCTTTTCTACATATGATAACTAACACACTTTTTAGTTTATTAAATTATTTATTATATGTTATCTTATTTTGGGGTCCTTAGGTATTATCATTATGATTCCTAATCTGGCTGATTTTGAAGATATAACAATAGCTTCCCTGCTTTAAATGTCAGTTTCATAAATGTTCATTTAGTTTGTAGGAAATAAGATAGTAGGTTACATGAGAGCTATGAGAATGTAAAAACTACACACTTGTTTTTCCAAGAAGTGTATGCCAAGATCATAAGTTCAGGTACAGCCAGGAATAATACACACCATCGTCCAACCTTTTGGAAACTGAGGCGGAAGGATTGGATAATTGAGCCCTCCCTGAGAAATTTAGTGACTTAGTGAGGTCCTGTCTAAAACCTAAAAGTTACAAAGAAGATAGAGGGTATAGCTCAGTGAGAAGGTCTTGGCTTCAACTGATAGCACCACCAAAAGAGAAAAATGACCAAGCACACAAAATTCCTTCAAACCATATAGCTTGGGGGAAATTCTTGAATATAGGTGATTCATAATTTACAACAGTTCAGCTTTCATGCTTTTATGACTATATTTATTTTAGATACATTGCATAGCAAGAACCAAAATATATCTTTGATATCAAAATAATCCAAATATCCTTATAACCAATTTCCATAGCTTTTCGTAGTTAATTAATATCACTAAGAGAAAAACATTGCAGGATGGAGAACAGTCTCATTATCTTGATGCATAATCAGACCATCGGAATCGTCACAAATCAAGCATGCATTTCTTCAAAGGCAATGGTGTTCTGGAAGATGCTTAAGATTAAGTGTGGAGGGCCAGGGATGTGGCTCAGTGGCCCAGTCTGGCATATGTGAGGTTGTGAGTTCTATTTCTGGTACAAAAAAGAAAAAAAAAATCAGGTGTGAGAAAGATTTTATTTCCTGCCATCTCCCTCCATTTTCTTTCTCTCACATTCTGATATTGAGGATTGAACCCAGTATTTTTGCACTGAGCTGCATCCCCGGCCCTTGCTTACTTTGAGACAAAGTCTCACTGAGCTACTAAATTGCCCATGAGCTCAGATTTCTGAGTCTCCTGCCTCACCCTCCCTGAGTGCTGGGATTATAGGAATGCACCACCATGCTCAGCTTGCAGGGTTCCATAATTTCAGAGAAGCTGTCACAGGCTTGCAGAGTCAAGAGTGGGCAACTGTGAACTTGAGCCTCAGTCTTGATACGTGAGTATTTTCCATTGAGATGTCGTAAGGCTCCAGCAGTCTATCCACTTTTCCTTAATCACATTCACTTGTACCAGTCAACAGCATGAAGTGATAATATTGTTACTAAATCACATATAATTGCCCGAGTGACATAAAACAAAAGGCTGGGAAATAAGAACATCTTCTAAAGAGGCTTCCCATGTGCACAATAATCTGTCCCTATTTTATCAGTGTACAGTCTACAGTGAATCACAATTATTTCTGTGCAAGTGTTTCCCACCACTTATGAACTCCTTGCAATTTTAAAATAAATTGCTTTCCATTTATCTCTTTTCTCTAGCATATTCCTTGAAACACAGTAGATAGTCCCTAAGTGTGTCAAACAAAAAAGAGAAAATGGAGCTGAGGGCATAGGTCAGTGGTAGGTCCGGCATGCACAAGGTCCTGGATTCAATCCTCAACAGCAGAATGAAAACAAGAGAGCAGGAAAGAAAAAAGAAAAGGCAGTTCTATTAACGGACGACTTTACAGTACTACAGCTGGCCTTGGCAGGCATCTAGATCTGAATACGTTCTAAAATAAAGTGTGATACAATATGTCTAGCAACCTCAGGTTATCACATTTCTGGATAGATGAGGAAGACTATCTTCCTACCCCAAGCATTCATAAACAAGAACTGATTACAAGGAAGAGAGATAAAGTGAGCAGAGAAGAAAATATTTTGCCAAGAATCCTCCTTGAGGATGAGGGTGAGAAATAAGCGTCACTGTGCTTCTGAGAAATCTTCTCAGATAAGCTTCTTTGACAAGTGAGTTCTGTGGATGTAAAATCAGGAAGTCATGACATATTCAGATGAAAAGCCAGAGGGGAGAAATACTATACTTTTCCTTTGTTATTGGCCTAGAAGAAGGAATTTATTAAGGGCTTTATAAATCACAGCATGTGATATCTTCTTGTCTTTTCAGAAGAGACATTTCTTCATGTAGAGGTTGCTTTATTCAAGTAATTTTGCCTTCACTCTTCAGAAACTTTTATGGAACCTGTAAGTGGGTGAGGCTGCTCACAAGCATGGACTAATTCTGCTGAGCCACAGGCAAAGTCGCCGCTGCCCTGCCCACTCTTGGGGAGTTGTGGAAATGTGCTCCCTCACATTTTATGGGGAGCCACGCTGGAATGTGGAGGTAGCTGGGGGAGCTTTGCTTTGGGAAATGTCCAGAATGGCACAGGTAGTTTGAAAATGCCTATATTATTATAATAATGTCAAGTATGTCTCTAGCCAGGTTCTTCATTATACTTAGAGCAAGACAACACATAATTATGCCAAATAAAATACACAGTCATCAATGTGCTGAGTGTATCATATTATACCCATACATACTTCTTAAATTTTAGAGCCCAGAAAAATGAGATGAAAAATGGATAGGGGTGACATTTGACATCAAA